GGCTCTCTATCCCTCTCCCTTCCTCTCTGTAAAAAATCAATAAAATATATTAAAAAAAAAAAGAATCATTATGAATTCTCCAAAGTAATTCAAAGGGGAGGATAAGATGTTAGGAAAATAATAATATTTAGTAGATATTTTGAAAATATTAACATAACTTGATGTGTGTATGTGTATACATAGGTATGTAATATATATATTATATTACATGTAATATGCCATATATTATATGTCTGGAAGTATTACTGAAGAAATTGAGCCTCAGAATAAGCTTGATGAATGCACGTGAATCTTTTTCCTTATAGTTCTATCAGTTCTCTGTTGGAAATCAGAGAGAAGGAAGGCTTTTATGCCATGGCCATTATCCTGAAATCCTTGTTGTGGATGCCACCAGCCTTGAGGTGTTATACTCCTTAGTATCAAAGATATCTCCTGACTGGATTAGCTCCATGAGTATTATTCCATCCCACCGAACACAAGGTCAGTGTATGGTGCCCTGTAAGGACTTCAGCTCCGTGACGTAATGGCTTATTTACTGTAGAGTTCATTATGTATCATATATTAATGTATTTGGTTATGTTCTTCTATTTAAGAAATAGCTAATAATTTATGGTCTGTCTCTACTTTCAGAAAGGAATCTTTGATTGGATTAAGGCTTGCAGTGTTAGATTATCTCCATTCCATGGAATAGATCACTAGCTTTTGGCAATCTTAATGTGTGGGGGTGATTTTCTGAAAGGGAGGACGAATAGCAGAACCCCTTGCAGGAATGGTGGGAGGAACCATAGTTTCACCTGTGTGTTTCTTGGGCCTGGTTTTGTCACTTTCTTACGAGGCATAGAAAGTGTTTTTATTTTATGTGAAGATAATGAAAAGGAAGGGAATTATGCATAGTTAAATTTAATGCAAGTTCCTGGTATGTTTGCTCCCTTACCCAAAGCTTATGAATTTAGGTTTTATATCATGTGTTTCTTTTGATCATGATCATTGGAGGGTGTAATGTGCAATAAAATGTCTAGAAAAAGAATGTCAAACTCACAGGCAGCGAGTCACCCACTGGCCATGAGTTTGATATGCTTGGTCTAGAACAGCCGTGGGCAAACTACGGCCCCCACCCACTGGCCGTGAGTTTGATATGCTTGGTCTAGAAGGTAGGCAAGGTAGGTGGGAAAGTGGGTAAACAAGTGCCTTGAAGATAAAGTGAGTCTGCTTGTTCATGATAAATAAAAATTATGAATTTTGAAGATAAAAGTTCTTTGTTAACATAGTGATCAAGAACATTTGAAATTATTAAAATCTTGATTACAAATCTACATATATAAAAGCCTAAGCGACCGAATGACCGAATGACTGTCGACTGGTTGCTATGACACGCATTGACCACCAGGGAGAAGACGCTCAATGCAGGATTTGCCCCTTGGTGGTCAGTGCACTCCCACAGCCAACCTCCCACAGCCCCTCCCCCCTGCCAATCCCGATTGGCCCAGATCACTGGCCAGGCTGAGGGACACCACCCGTGCATGAATTCATGCACCGGGCCTCTAGTAAAAAATTAATTCAAGTAGCTAGAAAGAATTCTTCCTTGAATTCCAAATTTTTGGTCATCTCTATTATGCTTCAAAATATGATTTCTGTTATTTTATGAAATATAGAATTATGTTTTTATGCCAATTCTAAAACATACTGTTAATTAAAGCAAACCCTGTTCCATATTACTATTGTGACCTTGTTACTGTATAGAAACAGTGTATTTTGTTAATCCTCACCCGAGGATATTTTTCCATTGATTTTAGAGAGAGTGGAAGGGAGGGAGAGAGGGAGAAAAGCATCAATGTGAGAGAGAGACAGTGTATTGTATTGTAACCTTGACTTTTTGTTCCTTCTTGGCTTAGAGGACACTGTGGTAGCACTCTCGGTGACGGGCATCTTGAAGGTGTGGATTGTTACCTCTGAAATAAGTGGCATGCAGGTGAGACAAATGAGACTGGATTAATTTCTCTGTTTTTCTTCTCATGGAGTCTTAAATTTTAGTAATGATATGTGCCTTCTTTTCTTAAAGGGGAAGGGAAAGCTAATCTTTTTTAATAGTCTTATTGACATGGTATAGAAGATCCCCTACAATGCGGTCTCTGCAAGTGAATTAAGTTTTTCACTTTTCATGGTACACATTTGCCATGTCAAGGATAGAATTAGAGAAACATATTGCACAGGATAGGATGTAGAGAAATGTGTAGAAGCGGTAGGACTTTCCTCAATTGCTTCTATTTAAGTTAAAAGTTAGTTTGCTCTAGGGAAAAAAAATAAAGCAAACCATTACAAAAATATATAAAGTCCCCCCCAATTTTAGTCCCCTCTCTCTGTTCTTTGGGCTTGATTTCCTTGTTATATTTCTTATCAGAAAGGAGATTAATTTTCTGACAATAATTGATGCTAGTCTCTTCAGCTAGGGAATTTTTAGACATTGAATCTGGGGGAAACTGGAGGAATTGATCATTTTTTTTGTTTGTTTTTTTACTTAAAAAGCACATATAGCTACAAAAATTAGGGTTTACTCAAAACTTTTATCATCTGTTATTGTGATAGTATTCTGATTCTCATCAGTATTTTAATCTTGAGTACCTTTGTAGCAGAGATGTCACGCCCAGATGTTTTTGTAATGCATTTGTGTTGCTTTTTACTGCTGTGGTTCTCACATGAGGGGTTAAAATCATGACCGTCACGTGATGTCTTTAGTTCATTTGTTTTCTTTATCATTGTTTGATCATTTTAATTGACAACCAAGCCATTCCTAAAATTTTGCAAATCTTTCTGTTTGCAGGATACTGAGCCAGTATTTGAGGAGGAATCCAAACCAATTTATTGTCAGAATTGCCAGAGCATCTCCTTTTGTGCATTCACACAGAGGTCACTTTTGGTTGTGTGCTCCAAATACTGGCGGGTAAGATCATTGCATAAGTAAGAAGTTGCATTTTTACCCTGTTGGTTTATCAGACTCCCAAAGAGAAATGTCAGGAAAAGTTTGGTGCAAGAATAGGTTAACCATTTGGTATTCATGTGTGATTTTGATATTATATTTTGAGGTGTTGGGATAGTTGTCTTTTTTGTATGTTTGTTTATAGAATGATTCAGTTAATGATTATTATTCTATTGATTTTAATTTCTACTTTTGCTGCTGTTTTAGTCATTATCTTTGTCAGTATAACATAAGGAGTGACAGCGAGTTTTCTGCGTTTGACATATCTGCAGGTTGTTATTATTCCCAGTTGCCATTCTGTCCTAACTTCTTGGAGTCAGGAAGGTCTTTCTTCATCACTTCAGAGCTGCTGAAGGAGTATATTGCTTCCACATTGCTAAACTTGAACATTTCCCCTTTTTTTTTTTTTAAAAAAAAATGTATTTTTATTGATTTCAGAGAGGAAGGGAGAGAGAGAGAGAGAGAGAGAGAGAGATAGAAACATCAATGATGAGAGAGAATCATTGATCAGGTGCCTCCTGCACGTGCCCTAATGGAGATGGAGCCTGTAACCCAGGCATGTGTCCTGACTGGGAATCGAACCGTGACCTCCTGGTTCATAGGTCGATGTTCGACTACTGAACCACACTGATCGGGCTGACTTTAATATTTTCATAATACAAAAGGTGTCAGCATGCTTCAATTGCTTGTACCAAAGATTTCCCTATATTACTTTTTATAATCCTTACAACTCAGCGGGGACATGTATTAGTTATCTAATCCTGCATAACAAAAATCATTCCAAACTAGACCACAGACACGTATCATCACCCGTCTAAAGCATTTATCACCATGCCACCACCTGTCGGTCAGGAATCCCGGCACCGCTTAGCTGGCTACCTGCTCAGGGTTTCTCACCCGCTACAATCAAGTGTTAGCAAGGACTACCGTCTCATCATAAGGCTCACCTTGAGCGGGTTTGCTTCAAAGATTACTCACATGGCGGTGGGCAGGCCTCAGAGCCTCCTGACAATTGGCTGGACGCTTTTGTTCCGTGTCATGTGGGCCTCTCCAAGGAGAGGTCACAGAATGGGTGCTGTCTCCCCTCAGAGTGAGCGCACAAGAGAATGTGTAGCCAAGACCCACCTAACCTTGTAACTGAGATCCCATCCCATCTGCCACATTCAACATGTGTCTAGAAGCAGTCACTAAATCCAGCCCACACTCGGGAGAGGTTTACACAAGGATCTCAATACCAGGAGTCGGGATCAGGACAGCAGTCCCAGAGGCTGCCTACCGCAGTAGGAATTGTTACTTTCCACGTTTTGTAGATAAGGCATCTGAGGCATAGGGGGTGATAAATAGCTTGACTAAGGCTCTAAAGTGGCAGTGGAATTGTTGGATTACAGCTCAGGTAGTCTGCCTCCAACAGCTCTATTACCACCAGGCAATTTACAGCACAGACTAGATTGCAAATTTCTTCTTCCTTGTAGGTATTTGATGCTGGAGACTACTCCCTGTTGTGTTCAGGCCCCAGTGAAAATGGACAGGCATGGACTGGAGGTGACTTTGTATCAGCAGATAAAGTAATCGTTTGGACTGAAAATGGGCAAAGTTATATTTACAAACTACCTGCCAGGTATTCAATAAATAATAACATAGGACTTTAATCAAAAGCAAAAGATTCTGAATTTGGGGTATAACCTGGACGTATGAAAATGCGTATAGTATAAATATTTAATATGGAGGAAAAATTTTAAATGGGTTAAAGAAGTCACCTAGAACTTCTTAAGTTAAATAAGTAATTCCAGTTTAACTTCTAAGTACAATATAGGGGCATTTTATTTGAAATAGGATATTTTAATGATGTTCATTATTTAATGCTAAGTTAATTTAACTATAATTTAAGAACTCATTTTTCATTCATGTCAAAACCATCATATGACCTGACAAAATGTTTAATGTCAGTATTTTAATTGAATGATGTATTTTTCTCATCTTCAGTTGCCTTCCAGCTAGTGATTCATTCCGCAGCGATGTGGGGAAAGCAGTTGAAAATTTAATCCCTCCTGTGCAACATAGCCTCTTGGATCGAACAGATAAAGAGGTAAAAAATTTCAGATATCATTTATAATTGATAGTTATGTTGAAAAATTTTCATAGCTATATATTTTGGTAGCAAATCATTTGAAAGGTTCAATATAATTCAAGGCACTATGTTAGACACTGTGAAATACTTTACATGGTCAATTGTAAGCACGATTTTAATATTTGCATATCTTATACATAGTATGACTATAATATAGCATTCACCGTTCTCTGAGAATACAAATGACTTAATGCTGATTACATACTGGAAATGACTTTTTGATAAAGTTCATGTTGATGGTGCAAATTTATTTTATGCTATTATGCAGCTATCAACACAGTGACAGATGGAATGCCCTTTTAGAAGGGCAAGATCATCATGTAATAATGCTCATTAATAACAGTTCATTATTTGAACAAGGCATTGCAGTATCTCCCAAAAACCATGGAGTTATTTAAATCATTAGGCTTTAGAAATGAATAATAAAAGAAAATTTTCTCTATAAAAAAAGTTTAGTATGATTTCTTAAAATTTACAACAGCACTAAGTAATAGGTTTCCAATTCTTACTGGGTTTTCACTAGTAAGGAAGAAGCTTTGCTTTTGGAAATAAAGTTTCCTTTATTTCTAGGTTCCCACAGTTTTTTTCATTCTGAGAATTTTGTTCCATCTTTATATGGAGAGATGATGAGGGAAAGGGAATCATTATTTACCATGAATATTTTGAATATGTAGAATTTATGTGTGTATGTATAACTAAGATCTTCTATAACCTATCTTTTTCTCTTAACTTACACTTCTACTTACTGCTCTTTAACCTAGAGACCATCACTTCCAGTAAAATGAAGGGATAATGATCTAAAAAAAATGTACACAAAACAAAACAAAATAAACACATTCCATTTTTAAAAAAATATCAACTCCGCAGTACATTTTAAATCAAAATGTATTATTATTTGGTGTTAGATACCCATGTGGTGAAATATAGAATATTGGTTATTACAGCTGCTGTAGCAACTTCTCCTTGTTCAGCATGTTATCGATGAAAACTTTTAGTAATTTTCAGAATTGATTATGCTTAATATATATATTTCTGTAGGCTAGTGCTTTCTAGGAAAATAGTTAATACCAAATACAGTAATTAGATTATTTGACTATAATTGCCAAGACTGAAGTCTGTTTATTACTGTTTTTTATGATAATGTTCTGTTTTAACATTCAAGTATCTGTGAATGAATACTCCAAACTTTAATTTTAGGATTCTACCACTGTTTAAATTTTTCAAATAAGTGATCTCACTGAAGACACAGGATCTTAAGCAGAAAAATAATTTGTTTTAAAATGAAAGTATATACAAGACCCTAATAAATATATTTTGTTCCTAGTAGTTTATAGCTAACATATCAGGCTGTGTTCGAATTGATTATGTAAATGTGATCAAATGAAATGTTATATTGTTGGCTGAAGAATATACTTATTTTTTAAAAAATGGAGTCCTCCAGTTGCACAGCTTGGTAGTTAAATTTTGCTGCTCTTACTAGTGACTAATCAGGAATGGGCAAAAGGTTAGGATTATCCAGTTCTCCCTTCTGACCTTTGAGTGGCGACTTTTCATTTTGGTAAAGAATATCATGTTTTATATTAACTATGTAATAACAGACAGTTAAGTAAGTTGTATTGTTGTGGTGACTAATCAGTTTTTATAAAACACAAAAATATAAAAATACAATTCTATAGAGAGACTATATAATTTTTATTTCTTTGTGTTATGATGGATTTGAATGTTAATTGACATGTACATCAATGCTACAAAATTACATTAAAATATTGTTGGGTGTGATAAACACTTTTTCTTACTCTGGTACTGAGGGCAAAGTACTTAACATCCTAAACTGAAAAAAATGTTAATGTGTGAAATATTTTGATTAAAAAAGCTAAAGATGTTTGAACAATTTTTTTCCAGTTGCTCATTTGTCCTCCTGTTACTCGGTTCTTCTATGGAGCCAGGGAATACTTCCATAAACTATTAATTCAGGGGGACTCTTCTGGAAGATTGAATATTTGGAAAATCCCAGACACACCTGAGAAGCAGGAAGGTGAAGAAGCGAATAGTAAATCAGGTACAGCAATTTCTTAATTTCACAGCCTAAATACTAACCACTGAACAACAAATTCATTATGTCATATTTCATTTTCTTCTTAGAATCATGTTTGATGACAGTTATTCTTTGGTATATTACTAAATCAACTATAAGCATGCTTATTTTAATATTTAAAATTCTTTTTCTAACATGCTCAATGTTTTTCTTTTATACAAAACCGAACTTCCACAGGGCTCGAAATCACAACTTCTGTTAGTTTGCAAGAAGCATTTGATAAGCTCAATCCTTATCCAGCTGGGATTATAGATCAGCTGAGTGTGATCCCCAATAGTGATGAACCTCTTAAAGTAACCGCAAGTGTGTACATACCAGTACATGGACGTCTTGTTTGTGGCCGCGAAGATGGGAGCATCATTATTGTACCTGCCACGCAGACAGCCATAGTACAGCTGCTGCAAGGGGAACACATGCTCCGAAGAGGTATACTGACGACCTTCCAATGTCTAAAGCGTCCAGAGAGCTCTGAACCGTGATAGCGACAATGTCGGCAGGCTTTGTTTTTAACATATACAATGAATCAGGGTAGTTGTTAGTGTGCTATGTGGCTGATAGAGTTTAATGTGCAGATAATAAAATACTCAGTGCCTATTCTTGGGATTAATACCACCTACTGACTGTGAATAAAGAAGTATCCAATTTTATCTCTTTGAGGTATATTAAGAGTTCCATTTATTAATAGTTAACCTCTATGGTTTACTAAATAATGAACTTTATTGTTATTAATACTGATAATCTTTTAGAACAGTACTGTCCAGTGGAAATATATGTATATGTTACAATGTATGTAATTTTCTAATATCCACATTAAAAATGTGAAAATGAAGCAGGTAAAATTAATTTTAATAATATATTTTATTTAATTCAGTATAGCAAAACTATTTTTACTTCAGTGAGATACTTAACATTATTATTTGTTGTCCTAAGCCTTTGAAATCTCATGTGTATTTTACATTGACAGCACACGTGAGTCTGGACTAGCCACATTTCACGTCCTCAATGGTCTCCTGTGGCTAGTAACTACTGTATCGGACAGAGCAGTTTTAGGAGATAAAACCAGAAGCCTTTTCTTTGATAAAATTTATAGCTATTTTGACAATTCATGTTTACTTTTATTTGTTGGAACTTTGTAAGACTTTTATTTTCCCATTTTAAATCCAAACCCTCATTCACAGGTTGGCCACCTCACAGAACACTCCGTGGTCATCGGAACAAAGTCACATGTTTGCTATATCCTCATCAGGTCTCAACTCGTTATGATCAAAGATATCTGGTATCTGGAGGTGTGGATTTTTCGGTGATAATTTGGGACATATTTTCTGGAGAAATGAAACATATCTTCTGTGTGCATGGTGGCGAGATTACTCAACTCCTGGTTCCACCTGAAAACTGTAGTGTAAGTTGGTCAAAAATGATTGCTTTACTGTGGTAGAGCTGAGTCATGTGGCTATCAGGCTTACTATGAGTGGAGCCTAGAGTCATTTAAAGACCATGTGTCAAGAGAATTAAAACCCTTTTTATTTTAAAACTAAATGATGGTGACATGGAAGGTTTAGGCAAAGTTATGATTATTTACTATTGGGTACATAGAAATAGAAGATGCACATAGTTTTCAGAAAGTAAAACAATAACCCTAGTGACCCGATGGTGTCGTTCTTCACTGTAGAGCTGTATTGATACCTTTACGCGGAGCTCTCCACAGTTCCTCAGTCAGTTTGCGCCACAGGTGGCTGCATGTAGAAGTATGGCCTGTGACACGGAACATTTGTGTGTGATGCAGTATGATACTATTATTTACATTTTAAAAACAGACAAATCCATCCTTTTTAATTTTGGATACATGTTCAGGTAGTGAGAGCATTAAAATTGAACTGGAAATATAAGAACCGAAATCAGATTCCACTTTGCTTTTGGGAGTGAGAAAAATGAGTTTCCAGAACAAAAAAAATGCGACTTCTTTAAGTGCCATTTTTTATTTACTTAAAAAAAATTATTATTGATTTCAGAGAAGAAGGGAGAGGGAGAGAGATAAGGACTGAAATCAGATTCCACTTTGCTTTTGGGAGTGAAAAGAATGAGTTTCCAGAACAAAAAAATGCAACTTCTTTAAGTGCCATTTTTTATTTACTTAAAAAATTTTATTATTGATTTCAGAGAAGAAGGGAGAGGGAGAGAGAGATAGAAACATCAATGGTGAGAGCCAGTCATTGATCAGCTGCCTCCTGCACGCCCCCCACTGGGGATCGAGCCCGCAATCCCGGCATGTGCCCTGACCAGCAGCTGAATTGTGACCACCAGGTTCATAGGTTGATGATCAACCACTGAGTCATGAGGCCGGGCTCTTTTATTTACTTTTAATAACTATTTAATAATTATTTTATTCTCTCATTGGCATGGATGATCGAACTATCAGAGCTTTTTGCTGCTGCTAGAACTTTATTCAGAACAGAAATTTTGGAAAATGTTTCAAAATAATTTATTTAGTACAGATAACATATATGTTTCTCTTGTGTAAGCACATAGGTTAAGTTCCTATTTTTGGAAAATGTTTCAAAATGATTTATTTAGTACAGATAACATATGTTTCTCTTGTGTAAGCACATAGGTTAAGTTCCTTAATAGAATAGTTTGAAAAAGTGATTATTTTTCATTTACATCTTGTTAAACTTTTAAGGTCACATAATTTCCCAAAGTATCCAGAAGAGGGCAGCATGGGCTTGTGAAACAGGAGAGCCAGGTATCCAACCTGAATATTGGAGTTTGTGCCTTCATTTGAAGTATTAGATCCTTAGCTCTTACAGACAGAGATATAATATAAATAGTATATGTGACTATATGTGTGCAATGCGGCTGATGTTCACAGCTGGTAAGAGCAATTAACAAATGAGGTTTTTCTTATAATGTACTGTACTTTTCAGTCTGAAAATGTACCTAAAGCTTTTGCCTGAATTAGCTCTTATCTTACTTTTGAATTTGGACTTTTGTTATGATTTTAACTTGAATATTACATTTAAAAAGCAATGTCTATCATTATACCATAGTCTCTAAAGCCAAGCAGGGTACACTTTGGAATGTAAATTAAGCAAATGCAAGAAATAGACCTATCGTTAATTTTCTGCAATATAGCACAGTAGACACAATGTTCTGTAACATTCTCATTTCCCCGTAACACTTGATTCTTTTAGATTTTGACATAAGATATTTTGATGCAGTCAGTACTTTTTGAAATTAATTTTTATTTGTTTTAAATTAAATAATACATTGTTTAATATATGTAAGATACAGATATTTTCTATGTCACTAAGTATATTCTAATATTTTAAATGTTATTCTGTAGTTTATTGAAATTTATCAGAAAATTTAGAATGTTGCTTTATTAAACAATTTTTCTCTTATCAAGAGTGGGGGTGAAAATTAGTATAGCTAAGTATGTTTGTACATCTGAAATGATTTTTTAGGATAAATTCTTAAATGTGGAATTGCTGTATAAAAAGGCATATTAATTTTTAAAAGCTTTTGAATAGGTATTGCCAAATTGTCCTTCAGTTGAACTTAGGAATAGGTTTATATAACCATCATTTTACCCCCTTCATTTTGCATTATCCTACCTATAATTGTTTAAGTCTTGGTAATTTTCTAGGCTTGTAAGTAGGTGTTTGTAGCATATGTGCAAGTGTATAGTACTTGTTTTCATTTTGAAAGCACAGATGTGTTTATATACCAATACTATATGGATTGTCCATTCATACTGGTTTATATTTTATTCTTTATAATTTTATGTTTTCTAGATTTTTACCACTATCATATTACTATTGTATTGAAGATAAAAAAATATAAAAATATTCTTGCTGTGGATACCATCTATGTATTCAAATATCGTAATAAGCCCTGTCTCTTATGTAGGAAGCTGAAAATATCAGTGATGCACTGAGAGTGTCAGTGAGGGGTCCTTTCAACAGTAATGAGAAGGACCGCATCCTTATTATGGCTGTGCTGATATCGTGCCAAACATTTTAGAAATTTAGAATTCCTCTACTTTGGAAAGGTTTCTTTGATCTTAAGTAACACCCTTAGTAGTGGAGAAGATTGCATTGGCATACATTTATTCTTGGTAATAGTCAGAAATGATTAAATGCTGAACTTTGTGAATGAAGTGGTTATTTTGATTTTTTATTTGGGGCTGAAAAGATAGTAGGACACAGGGCAAAGACTACTTTTTGTTGAGTAACTTCATCATAAAATGGTTTCAAAATGAGTTAAAGTTTCTCTTAAAATGGCAGAAATTATTAGAAAAAAACGAATGACCTTTAAGGTGGCTATGATTAGGTATAACATAAATTTGATAGTCGTTTATTTAGCAAATATCTGAGTGCCTGTCATATTCCATGTACTTTCAAGGACCAGATATATTATAGTGGACTGGAGGCCCAGTGCACAAAATTCCTGCACTGGGAGGTCAGAGGGGGAAGGGGAGGGAGGGGTCCCTCAGCCTGGCCTGCACCCTCTCGCAGTCCGGGACCCCTCGGGGGATGTCCATTTGCAGGGGATCGGGCCTAAGCCGGCAGTCAGACATCCCTCTCTCAGTCTGGGGCTCTTGCATTCTGGGACCCCTTGCTCCTTACCGCCACCACTGCTGCGCTCGCCAGCCATGAGCCCTGCTTCTGGTTGCCCTGCTTCTGGTTGAGCGGTGCTCCCCCAGTGGGAGCACACTGACCACCAGGAGGCAGCTCCTGTGTTGAGCATCTGCCCCCTGGTGGTCAGTACATGTCATAGCGACCAGTCGATTTGCATATTAGGGTTTTATTATATAGGACTAGGGGCCCAGGGCATGAATTCGTGCACCTTGAAAGGAACTGTGGGCCGTGAGGCTGTGGTGGGCACAGGGGCGGGTCTCAACCCATCCTCCATGCCCCCGCCTGGTCCCTTCTGCCACAGCCCCCGTCCCTTGTCTGCCTGCAGCCCCACTCCTGCCACTACCCCTCCCATGTGCTGGTGGCGCCGGCCCTGCTCACAGCCGCTGATGTCATGGAGCCCTCAGGAGCAGGGGTGGTGGAGAAGCCCTCAGGGGCGATTGGAGCCGGCACCGCTGCTCGCACCCGCTGATGGCGCCAGGTGATCGGGACCGGCACTGGGTGCCGGCAGCGGGTTCGAGCGGCAGTTCTGGTGCCAGCTGCAGGTACAAGTGGGGCTAGCGCCGGCAGCAGGTGCAAGCAGGGCCGTTGCCAGCAGCGGATGTGAGAAGCAGCTACTGCCCTGATCTCCCCTCAGGAGCAGGGGAGGTGGAGAAGCCCTGAGGGGCGATTGGGGCCAGCAGCTGCTGCTTGCACCTGCCGATGGCACCGAGTGATCAGGGCTGGTGTCGGGCGCTGGCAGTGGGTGCAAGCACCCGGCGGGACCACAGCGCATGAGAGCAAAGAATTTTCAGTAACCACCAGAGCTTGCCCCGATGACAGCCACTGGTGCTCTGCTTTGGTCTGGTGTCCCTGCTCACTTGCTCCACCATCCCGCCACGGCCGATGCCTGCCATGTTCCATGCTCTGCCTCCTGCTGCCAAAGCCTTCCATGTTCTGTGCGCACCCCCTGTGGTCAGTGCACATCATAGTGACTGGTTGTTCGGTTGTCTGGTTGTTCTGCCGTTCGGTCTATTTGCATATTAGGGTTTTATATATATAGATAAGGCATAGTGCCTGTCTGATAGAATTTCATCTAACAAGGGAGCCAGAATAGAAAACAAGCAATTATTATGCAGCATGATAAATACTTTGAAGTACCTGTTCTGTGACCTCCCTGAGTGCAAGGCCCTCAGGAAGATGCTAGTCGGGGTACTTCATAAACTCTGGGGGTTTGGGAAGATTTCCAAGAAGGATGATATCTACTTGAATTTATTAGTTTTTTAAATGTATTTATTTGAGTGTAATCAGGTGTATTGAATGTGTTTTGAAAGTATACCAATGTCTTAGTTTTGTGAGGGGTATGGAATCGTACATACATGAACAACCTCTGTTTGCAGAGGTACTTAGTATGTGATAGGGAGTAGTCTGGAGCACATGAGAAGTTGCTGTGACTAGTACCTGATGGATCTAATATCACAAACACTGATAGGAATTAACATATTTGTACATTACTTTGAAAAGAATGACCAAGAAATCAGAGTAATGGTTTTGTATGTGCTACGGGCTAGTCGTAGGTGAGACCATTAGGGCACATTGTTTTATCCTATGTAGGAAGAGTATTTGAAAGAAAAAAGTGAAGATGATAAAAATATGAAACTCTGCTCAAAAGTAAAATATGCAAGCTATTCTTCCAAACAAAGATTTGGCAGGAGAGTAAAGTGAAATATGTATTAAAAACAACAGAAATGCCCGTTATTCTATAGTGATTTTTTTGGAGTCATAA